GGTCGGGTCTCTGTAAAAGAGACAAAGCATTGATGTGATATTCTCAAATAAGATCAGACGTGAAAGTGCGAGACCGAATTAAAGATGTTTTTATTGATGACAAACTACTCAGATATTTATATTGTTGAAGAGGTCGGGATGAACGCTTCTTGGTGATGTTCCGAATCCATGTTTAGGCGGCGATATAGGACGAGCGTCCTGTTAAGTAACTTATCCATGTTTCGGGTAAACTTAATAAGTCCTTTGATGTTCTAATCTAGATCAAAGTAGTTTTGGACAGATGTTGGCAGAAACTGGACCAATGGATGACGTACGGTTGGTGCCGTCGAAAGAACGAATAGAATGGATGTGTCTGAGACTGAAACAAGAAGGCATTCTCTGTGGGAAGGTGTAGGATACGACATTACCCCCCGCCAGACAAGACAACCGTGCGAAAAGATTGTGTAGATCCCTACGTTTGTGGACAAAACAGCATGTCAAATGACTAGAAAACCCAGAAAAACCCAGTGGGAGAAAAAAAATGATGGGATAAAAAAGTCATGCTAAACGCGTTAAGTACTGGAGGCAGTGTTGGCGGCAACACGTTTGCGCTTGGACGAGCGTGTTTCTATACGACTGTGGATAGGAGCCGTGAAAGAGCTGCTTGCTCGCGATTGGGTACTGGTAGCTTCAGTACGTGGACGTTTGATAGTGAAATTAGGAGCAGTCGCACGTCGACTCCAATATTGTTGAATGAGATCCAAGCTATTGAAATGATCGGCCGGTTCCCAAGTGTCCTCTTCAGGGTCATCATATCCCTTCCAACGTACCCGGTATAGGTATTGGTTCTTGTCATCAAGTTTGTGATCCACGACTGCGAGAATCTCGTATGTGTCTTCGGACTGTACAGTAGTATCCGGTGAGATGGACTTCATATGCGAAGGTGGAACGTTTCTTGAGAGCAATTCACCAGTTGTATCGGAAAGAACATAACTACCTCCTTTGGTAAGACCGTAGACAGTGTAAGGGCCCACATAACGAGGATCGGTCTTAGCCGCTCGTGCAATGTTCTTGATCATGACCTTACTGCCGATAGGAAAGCCGTTAATAATGCAGTTCTGACTGTCAAACTTACTCTTTTCCAGAGCTCGTACGGCATTCATGCGTGCACTGAGAGCAGGAATAACGACTTTTTCCCAGTTGGTGATGTGTTGCATCAAAGCCTTGGTATCCTGCAAAGACGAAGAGGCCGTACCGAGCTGAACACCAGTATAATCCTGAAAGCCATTAGGTTTCCGACCAAGCATCACACTGAAAGGACGAGAACTATGGATTCGTGTATGACGACAATTCATGGCAAGCTGTGCGCTACCGACGAACATATCCCACTCCGTAGCTTTGCCTTGTAAGCGTTTGATGATGGTTTGTTTTGCAATGCCCACAGCCTTCTCGGCAGCACCGTTGCCACGTGGATGGTATTTGGATGATAACCGTAGTTCATATCCTGAGGCTTTAGCAAGAAGCTTGCATAAGGAATTGTGGAATTCCGTACCCCAATCATGCGTAAGGACCATAGGATAGCCCAGCAAAGAGAAAACATCAACCAAGGTGCGCGCGATAGTTGAAGCGTATTTGTCAGGTATGGCTCGAAGAACCACGAAACGTGTGAAAATGTCCAGCATAACAAGTAGATAAGAATTCCCGCTGTCAGAAACAGTGTCAAACGAACCTAGGTCAATAGCCCAGTGGTCACCAGGTCTGTTAGCAATCACATGTTTTAAAGGATGGTAACCGTGTTTCCCAATGTTAAAGCGTTGGCAATCGGGGCATTTGGCCACTGTATTAAGTGCATCCTTGCGAATGTTAGTCCAGTGAAGACCGTCATCATGAATGGCATTGACGATAGCGTCTGCACCGAAGTGACCTAAGAGATGAGCCTCCTGTAATAGATCAGCACGTGCATCCTCTGGTGGTGTAATCATGTCAGCAGTGTTGGTCACTTGACTCATGCGTAACACAGGTGACTGTGCGTCTGCTGGTAAAGAGTTTTCATCCTGGTTGCCAGGGTTTTCCTGTTGTTGTCGCTGTCCAACGGTTCCGAGAACAAACGACTCAAGTAATCAGGCAGCAAATTCTGAATGCCAGGAATGTGCACGACCTTAAATGAAAATTCGCCTATCACATCGTGCCAGTTAACCATCATGGCGTTGGCGACGGGTTGAGTGTGAAGAAACGTGAGCGCGCGATGGTCGGTATAAACCGTGAATGGTCTACGTGAACCCCATAACCACTGACGCCATTTCTGTAGGCAATATACGATTGAAAGCAATTCGCGTTTTGTCGTTCCGTAACGGGATTCACTAGAAGTGAGTGCTCGAGCCACGAAACCAATGTAACGATATTGATTGTTAATGACTTGGAAAAGCATCCCCCCGGATGGAAGTGTTGCTAGCGTCTGTTGCAAGGTGAAAATCATGCTGGGTGTCAACATGGCTGAGAACAGGAGCTCGTGAAAGTACCTCTTTCAACCGTTCGAAAGCTTCCGTGTGCTTCATAGTCCAAAGACCATCCAGTGAACGAGCGTTTCGCAGCCGGTCGAGTGGCCGCATCAACTCTGCAGCGCGAGGCAAAAAGGAGCAAAAGAAATTGCATAAGCCTAAGAAGCTTTGCACATCACGGCCGGTCTGAGGCCGGGGCCAATCAAAAACGTTGGAGACTTTGCGAGGGTCTAAAGCAATACCCAAAGCCGAAATCTGGTATCCTAACAAGTAAACACACTTCTGGGCAAAATGACACTTCTTCCTGTTTAAGGTAAGGTTCACAGATGTCAATCGTTGGATCAGAATGCTAACGTGCTTCTTATGTGTCTCCAGGTCCGGCGACGCCACAATACAATCGTCAAGATACGTTTGCACAAATGGAAGATCATAAGTCAGCTTGGTGAGCAAGGCACTCCATTGTTGCGGAAGGATTTTTAATCCAAAACAGGCGCGCTTCCAGATGTAACAAGTCTTATCAACAATCATGCCGAGCTTGAACTGATCCTCGGGTAGAATAGGCATAGTATTGAAAGCAGCGGTTACATCGCAAACGCTAAACACTGTGTTACCCGATAACGAGGCGAAAATGGAAGGTATGTCCCGCATAGGGAAGTTGTAGTCGTCTAACATGGCATTAATGTGTCGCACGTCCATGTACCACCTATAGGCAATGGGTTCACCAGTAGAGGGATCGCGTTTAGGAACACATGTCAAACCACTATTGAACAGTGCGTAAGTGGGGGATTCAGCGATCACACCAGCTTCTAACCATTCGTTAATCTGTTTGTGTAAAACAGGTTTCAAAGCTTCTGCAACTTGGTATGGCGAGCGGTAAGCGACTTTGCCTGGAGGTGTGGGTAACCGCACAACTGCTTCCGGCATCGTACAGTAAGCATCCTTTGGAATAGCGGCATTAGTGTCCAGGTAAGGAGCAATAGCATCCAGAAAGTCTTGGTGTTGCTTATCATTGCCTACTGGGCTGTTATTTGGCATGTACTCATCAGGCATGGTAGGCGGATCTCTGGGAAATCCCGGCCAAGATGTTCTTCTGATCCCCAGGAAGACCAGCATGGGCGGTGTATACCCGGTCCTGCAGGTCAGGAACCAAAGCATCAATATACTTATTGACCATGACGAAGTCATCTGCAGCCTTCGCATCGCGCCGGAGTTTCTCGAAACGTGCCGTGAACAAGGCAACGGTCTCATTCTCGAGCATGTGGATATCCATCAGCTGCTCGGTCAGCTCGGCAATGCGGTCAGCTTCGTCAACATCGAGATCCTCAATGAAACGGGCGCGGGCAAAGGACTAAGGCTCATTCGTGTGGGGCTTGAGGTTCACAGAGAACCAAGAACGGTGCTCTGGAGAGAGCAGCATGGGAACGAAACGGGGCCAAGTACGATCCAAATCAAAGTCGTCGCCACGGACAACGTCTTCGAACTTGGTGAGGCAGTCCGACAAAGTGGGGAAGGTGGTCGAGGAAGGCTTCCAAACATAACCAGCCCACTGGAAACAAGGAAGATTGGTAGGCGCACGGCCAGAGCGTTCGGTGGGGACCGAAGTGGAGGGAGCAAAGAGCGACTGGGCAGTGACAGCAGCCGCAATTGCCTCTTCGAGGCGAACCATACGGGCCTTGATGGCGTCAGCTTCTGGAGCGTCGCGAGCAATGGCCTGGGTAAACTCGCAAGTGATGCGAGCAAGCTCATCCCTGAGCTCACCGATGGCAGTGGAGGCGATGGCCTGCATGGAAACCGAGGAGGAAGAGTTGGAACCAGTGGAGGAAGACATGGTGGAAACTTGGCAGGTAGTAAGGAGTAAGGTAGGTAAAAAAAGTAGAGTGTCAAAGGAGTTCGCAAAAAAAAATGTGATATTCTCAAATAAGATCAGACGTGAAAGTGCGAGACCGAATTAAAGATGTTTTTATTGATGACAAACTACTCAGATATTTATATTGTTGAAGCGGTCGGGATGAACGCTTCTTGATGATGTTCCGAATCCATGTTTAGGCGGCGATATAGGACGAGCGTCCTGTTAAGTAACTTATCCATGTTTCGGGTAAACTTAATAAGTCCTTTGATGTTCTAATCTAGATCAAAGTAGTTTTGGACAGATGTTGGCAGAAACTGGACCAATGGATGACGTACGGTTGGTGCCGTCGAAAGAACGAATAGAATGGATGTGTCTGAGACTGAAACAAGAAGGCATTCTCTGTGGGAAGGTGTAGGATATGACAATTGAGTAACAGGCCAGGTATGGGTAGTTGGATATTTTGCGAGACCCTAGCTTTAATATAAAAATAAACATCTTCAGCTAGCAAAAGCATTTTGTTTTATCAGAAGCTGATGTAAATTCACAAAGTTATCAGCTTTTAAAGTTTATATATATATCTTTTTAAACACAATATTAAAAACTTATAAATTATTGTGGTCACGTGGTTATCTAGTTTGCTAAAGAACTAGCTATATGTTTTTCAATCACTAACGGGTTTCATGGCCTAATGGATAAGGCGCTAGACTTCGAATCTAGAGATTCAGGGTTCGAGTCCCTGTGAAATCGATTATTCTTTTGAATTTTCTATATGTTGCCTCTGTCGTGTCACTTTTTGGCAGATAGATCTGTGGCCAATAATGGAAAAGAGGTTTGAGAGAGAAGTAGATAGATGACGTTTATTGCTTTTGTCTATAGGGATATTTATATAATCTAGCTAATAAAGTATTATCTGTAATAATGCATGTAATGACTATGAGTAATGTGGGCAACAAGGTAAATATGTGTGAGTCATGCTGAGGTCTAAAAGGGATGGACACGTTGCTGTGCAACAAGAGATATCACGAACGACCTGTCCAAAAAGAGAACTACAAAGAAGCCCGCCAGAATGGCTACAACACCTCTGTGTCGAAATAGCATCATAATAGCTTTTGTGCCACGCAGCAGCCTATCTTATAGCTGATTATGAGAGCAGATGTTTACCAGATCAAAAGCTAAAGTTTTATTTTGTGTGCACAGACAGCCTTTTATAAGGCTGTGCTGTGTCACAGCAGACTGCAGCAGGTGTAATCTTCTATTTTAAAAATATATAATAATGATAGCTAATCATAACAATTAATAGCAAAAGTATTCCACTCCATATGCCTGCTATCTTCTATCATTTCCGTCAAGTTCATGATAAAGAAGTATCTCAAGTCCTGGTTGTTATGTTTATCTATGTGTGGTATCACTTAATGAGAAAAAGACTTTCAAAAGATGAGACCAAAATAAGATGATGTTTTATTGAGGAAAACTACTTTCTATTTATAATGATGATGAGTCAGAACGGAGAAGATGAATACTTTTGTCTAATAGTCCAAAGATCCATGTTGAAGTGAATCAACAGTACAAAGAATGAAAAGAGACTGATAAAAGTATCTTTGAAGTTTCGGATGTGCTTTATTGAATGCAACGCTCTATGCTTTTATATCTTTTTGTGTATTGAATTAGCGGTGGCAGTTTAGATAGTGTTTCGTCTTCAGAATTGCCTGAATGGATGGAGGACGTATAGGATCCTTTCCTTTGTTCTGATCATGCGGATCTGAGGATGTCTTTGACATCCGCCATGCAGTGTAATGACTGCATTGCTATATTGGAGTCAATTCCATGTCCTGTTGAGTTTATCCCATTCGTTCATACGGTGTAATTCTTAATTCGTGTAGACAAGTTACTATGTAAGTACACTTCTGTGGTGTCCAGGAGTTAAGACCGAGAAGGGGTTAAGGAGTTAAGCCCGGATAAGAATTCAAATACCGAGAATTGCACTCAGCTGAATAAGCGTTCAGAATCATGGATAGTACTACGTACCTGTACCACATAGTACAATAGCAGTAGAATAGTATATAAGCTTTATTGAATGGATAGTAGAACGAGATCTGATCTTCAGAATAAATCCGTGTCTCAAAGGATTCCTATTTGTCTTCATATTCCTACTATCACTTACATTCAACCAGATAACACAACTTCGTGATGATGTTGAACCGATATGTGTTATCCATGTCAGAAATGCGAGTGGAGAGTAGGAGCACGACCCAATAGAAGATAGCTAGGGACAAGACGGAGATAAGAATACTACTCTACTAAAGGATAATACAACTACTAACCAATCAACAAGAATGCAAGAACCCACGAGAATGGATCAAGCGGCAAGACAGAACAAGACAAGAACAAGACTAGACTAGAAGGTGGGTGTTAGGTGCTTTCCACTACGCATTGACCACATGGATGGTTACCAATGGCAAGACCGGACAAGGACAAGGACTAGGATAGAGATGGACCCTAGAGGTTGGTCAAGACAAGGATAAGGTAGATAGAATAATGTGACGAGATAAACTGATGCCTTTATTGCTCTTATTCTTATCCGATATATATACCCAATGCTCGCAAGAAATAATAAATACAACGATGGAATTAATGACAATGAAATACAATATCGGTAAGATGAGCAATAATGCGGGGTAATATTAATGAAGTAAGGGGAAGGGGGTGACAACGATGCATACTGTTACTATGTCCTAATCGGTCATGACATTACCTCCCCTCTTAGGTTCGAGTTCTACGAGAACGGCGAAGGGATGTTCGGGGCGGAACGGAACCGGGCTTTTCCGGATAGGCGGCATGAAAGTCACGGACGACGTCAGGGGCATTCCAAAGATTTGACACAGGTTCCCAGGTATTTTCAGATGGGTCGTCATAACCTTTCCACTTCACCAAATACTGCAACTTCTGTCGGTACATGCGGCTGTCCAGAATGCGCTCAACTTCGTAATGCTCTTCGCCTTCGACCTCGACTGGCGGCAATGGCGGTTGTACATGACATGGAACGTCCGGCAGCTTGGGGTCATCACGGGGTGTCAACAAGGAGACGTGGAATACCGGGTACACCTTCATCGAGGGTGGTAGCTGCAGTCGATATGCATGGGAGCCCACGCGAGACAGCACCTTGAACGGGCCTAACCGCTTATGATCCAGCTTGCCAGAAGGCCGAGCAGTCCGTATGTTGCGGGATGAAAGATAAACCATTGTGCCTGGCACATAGTCCGGTGTGGGCCGATGGCACTCGTCGTAAAATGCTTTCTGTGTATCCTGCGCCAAGCGTATCTCTGTCTTCAGGGACTCATGCAATTCCTTCATTTGACGAACGAACTCATCCGACGAACGTGAAAGGCTGGTATTAACTGGAGCTGGGGCAGATGAAAACCTTGGATGGTAGCCCATATTAGACTCGAACGGCGAATGCTGAGTGGTTGTTTGTTGGGCATTGTTGTAACTGAACTCTGCAATGGGTAAGAGTGCTGTCCAATTGTCTTGCTGATAGTTGACGTAGGCTCGCAGATACTGTTCCAAAATGGCATTCGTTCTTTCAGTCTGGCCATCACTTTGAGGTCGGGCACTCGTCGACATGCTTGACGTGATCTGTAACAGCTGCAATAGTGATTTCCAGAAATTCGATGTGAACAGTGCGCCTCGATCGGAGATGATCTCGCTTGGTAGTCCATGGAGTCGGAAAATGTTCTTGACAAATAGCTGGGCCAATTGTTCTGCGGTGAGAGTGCCATGACAGGGAACAAAATGCGCCATCTTCGTGAGACGGTCAACCACCACCCAGATACAATCGTTTCCTTCCGACAATGGTAGTCCGGTGATGAAGTCCATACTGATCGACGACCATGGTTGGTCAGGTACTTGCAAAGGGCGGAGATGACCTTGTGGAGCTTGATTGTCTGATTTCGCTCTTTTGCATACAGCACAGTTGTGTACGTACCGATTGACGAATCTACGCATGCTGCTCCAGTAGAACACACGGGAAAGAAGCTCATAGGTCTTTGCTCGTCCAGGATGACGGCAGCTGGCACGTCATGATGATTATGGAGCAACTCAATTTTCAACTGGTCATTGTCAGGGATGCATATCCGGTTGTCGAACAACAGCAGGCCAGATTCGCTATCGATCTTGTAACGCTGAAGCTTCTTGCGCCAGTGACGAGGGGAACTCGATGGATGCTCGACGAACTGTACCAATCTTTGCAGGCGGCTGTCACACTGCATCAGATCGCGATCTTGGATAGCAATTGCGAGTTGAGCACAAAGGCTGAGGCTGCATCCAGTACGATTTGACCTTCCTTGAACAGTGATTGGATCGGTTGTTTCTCCCCCTCTTCAAAGGCCATGTCTCGTCGGCGAGTAAGAGCATCGGCCTTGGGTTCTGGCTACCCGGACGATAAGTGAGCGTGAATTCAAACTGGCTCAGAGTGAGCGCCCAACAGCATGACGACGGGTGAGGGACTTGGCAGGAGAAGACATGAAATACTCCAAGTTCTTGTGATCTGTGTAGACAGTGACCGGGTGCTTGGATCCTTGGAGGTAATGACGCCATGTTTTGAAGGACTCGACGATCGCTAACAGCTTCTTGTCGAAAATATTATAGTTGACTTCGGCTAGACAGAGCTTGCGACTGAAAAATGCAATGGGGTGCAACAACTTATCATCGCCAATTTGGTTCAAAACACCAGCAATGGCAGAGTCAGATGCATCGGTTTCCATGACCAGTTGCGAGTTGGATCATAAAACTGCAACACGGGGGCTGTCGTGAATGCATGCTTGAGTGCCTTGAAGGCTTCGTCCTGAGCGGTCGACCAGACAAACGGTGTCTTTTTCTTGAGCAACCTTGTGAGGGAGCGGTGATGTGAGAGAAACCATGGATAAAGCGACGATAGAAGTTGGCGAAACCAAGGAACACCTGAATATCATGTGCGACTGGGGGGTTGGCCAATCCAAGATACAAGAGACCTTGGCAGGATCCATGGATACACCGGAAGTACTGATGTTGACGCCCAGAAAGGTAGTTTGCTCGACATCGAACTCACACTTGCTGGCATTCAGGTAGAGACCGGCTTCTCTACAACGTTGGAGGATCTTGCGAACTTTTTGATCCAAATCGGCTGGATTTTGCCCCCATATGAGTATATCATCCAGGAATAGAATGGCGGTGTGGTCCAGGAATTCCCTCATTTGGTCAGTGACATAAGCCATCCAGGTCGCCGGTGCCCCTGTCAGCCCAAAGGACATGACGTTGTATTCAAAGAGGCCTAGACGGCAGCGGAATGCAGTCTTCCATTCATCACCCTCTTTGATTCGGATCAAATGGTATGCATGGCGTACATCGAGCTTTGTATAACAACGAGCATTGGTAAGGCGATCGAGCATTTCATTGATCAAAGGCAAAGGGAAACGGTTCTTGACAGTTACTCGATTAAGGCCTCGGTAGTCACAGCACATTCTAAGAGAGCCGTCGCGTTTCTTGACGAATAGAATCGGTGCTGCAGCAGGGCTGGTGGACTTGCGGATGAATCCATTAGCCAGGTTGGTTTCGATGTACTCAGACAAAGCCTTCAACTCATCTTGGGACAATGGGTAGATTGGGCCAAAGGGAGGTTGAGTACCCTCTACTAGCGGAATAGCATGATCAACCCCTGGGCGATGTGGGGGAAGTTGGTTGGCTTTGGCTTCACTGAACACATCAGCGAACTC